CCCTACCGCCGCAGGGAGCGCAGCGGCGGGCGCGCTCGCCGATGCGGCCCAGCGGCTGCGGCTCGCGGGGGGGGCGGCCGCGCTCTCGGTAGACGCGCCCCCGGAGCGGCGGGCGCGGCTGCTGCTGGCGCTGCCCGGGGTCTGCGCGGGTGTGGAGCTCGCAGCTGTGAATATTGAGGTGGGTTGCGCTCCAGACTTGTAAACGAGGGCCGTCGGTGAGGGAGGGTAGCATGCATCACTGCCGTCTCAAAAGAAGCAGGTTGGTGGGGTTCTCTCTGCAGGTTGCCAATTCGCGCCTCCTCACGCACCGCGTTTTTCTGACACCACCCCACTGCATTTGGAACAGGCCGCCTCTGTGAACTGGGACACCCAAGCGCACGCCGACGCGCTGCGTCGCGCTGCGGAGCTGCTGCCTGCGCTGTTCGACCTCCATCGTGCCGCCCTCGGTGCGACGCTCGCGGCGGCGCTGGCCGGCGCGGGCGGGGGCGCCGCGGCCGCCCTCGAGGCGGCGCAGCACGTGCTGGATCTGGCGGGGTCCGTGGAAGAGCTCGAGTCAGGGTTGGAAGATGTGCACCCCGGGCTCGGGCAGCTCGCCGCCTGGCTGGCACGCCCGGCCGACTGGGTGGCGCGCGCCGGCGCGGCGGCGCTGGCATCCACCCGCCGAGGCCTTCCGCAGCCGCCGCTTGCGGCGCTGCTGCTGCTGCACTGCTGCGCGGCCGTTCCCCAGCCGGAGGCGCGCGCGGCGCTCTGCTGCCAGCGCGCGGCGCTGCGGCTGCTGGTGGCCGCGGCGCGGGTCGCCCTGCACAGATGGCCGGACGAGGGCCAGCGGCGGCTGTGGCAGGAGCTTGCGCTTGCTGCGCGCGAGGGCGGCGGGCGCTACCCAGTACTCGTGTCTTGGTGCGCCGACGCGGCGTCCGAATGGCTCGCCGCGGCGCCGCCGCCGGCAGAGGCCGCGGGCGGCGCCTGGGCAGAGCTGGCCGCCTCGGAGCGGCGGGCGCCCTGGCTGCGGGCGCCGACACACTGCACTTGGCGCTGCGCGCCGGCACGCTGGGCGGGTGCGAGGGGGCGCTGCTTGCGCTGCTCTCCAGCCTGCTGCAGGAGGGGGGTGTCAGGGCCCCCGGCGAGCCAGCGGCATCCGCGGTCTGCACCGCGCTGCTGGAGCTGCCGGAGGATCGCCTCGCCGCGCTGCTGCTCGCGCTGCTGCTGCGCCCCGCCGCCGACGCCGCCCGCGGCGCCGCCGCGCGCGCGCTGCTCGCGCGGCTGCTGTCCGGGCCGGGAGACTGCGCCGAGGGGGGCGACGGCTTGGGCTCACGCCGCGCGGCAGCGGCTGGCGCGCCCTTAGCTCTGCGCGTGCAGCTGCTGGGGCACTTGCTGGGCGCGCTCGTCTGGCTGAGGTGCGACCCCGCCGCCTCCGCCGCCGCGTCGGGCGCGGCGGTCTCCACGCTCCTCGGGGCGCTCGCCGGCGCCGCGGGCGCGCTCGGC